TCACATCGATATATCAGCCAATGTCATAATGAGAATATTTATTGCGTAATGAGCAAATCCTTGGGTAATGATCGGGTTATGAATGCGGCACTTGAATAATGCGGATGCGTGAGATTTCTTCTTTTATTCAAATTTCCAGTGATAAATACGGTATTACGCTTTTTTATCTAGTTATTTTAATATCCTGTATGTAAATGGTTATTTATCGTGACGATTTTTCCAGGGGATTGCAGCGAGTAATGAGAATACATTATCGTACCGTAACTCTCGTCGTTTATGAGCATTTCGCATGAGAGGTTTTCAATGCTTTTTATCTTTCAATTGTGTATTAACGTCGGTTTATGAGATTTTTACAGGGGATCATTAATATTCTCATCATTAAAGATCCGGGGGATGATTTACTCGTGACGCACTACATGCTGAACAAGTGCGAAAATCATTATTTCATTCCTCCTTTTTTTAATTCAAGCGCATGTGCATGTTGCATTAATTAAAAATGGATGTTGGAAAAAACCTGCGATTCTCTGATTGAAATAAAATTTCAACAATGAAATCATCGTAATCGTCATCCCCGGGTTTTCAAAAATTGTAATCGGAATATTTTTTCCGAATTTTCAAAAAATTTTGGGAAAACTTTTCGGATTTTTTTTTATGAAACAAAAAAATCGGAAAACATAACAATTTTATTTTTGGGAAAGGTTTTGAAAAGTTTTTCAAAAATTCTTTCAGAATTTAGATGGCGTTTTTTTGAGAATATTAAAAATCAAAAAAGAAAATAACAATATAATTCTAGAAAATAATAAAAAAAAATTTTCGAACCAAATTTTGGAAAAATTTTTCAAAACATTTACCAAAAATAAAATTCTTTTGTTTTCCGATTTTTTTTTTTCAAACGAATAATTTTCCAAAAAATTTTCCAGGAATGTTTTTAAAATTTGGGAAAAATATTCCGATTACAATTTTTTTTTACCCGAGTCGTCAGTCATCAATCTTGGGATTACCGGGGAATAGACCGGTAACACCTATTGAAAATAATTCACGTAGCGGCAAAATCGAAAGTCTGATTCATTAATTTAAAATTCCCCCTCACCTGAGGTACAAAATTACAATATGGTAGATTTTCGTATCACGTATCGCTTGCGAAAATGAATGCTACCGCGAACTTTAGGGGATCATCACCGTTATAATGACAGCGAAGCAAAGAATGTTGAAATCATCCGAGAGTAATTTACCTTTGTACCTGCGGGACACATGTACATTTTTCTGATTGTCATCGTCACCTCTTCCGCCATCGGAGATGTACGTGTCACAGACGAACGTTACATGATTTTCCCGTCATCAATGATCGTAAATAACTTGATGAAGTCCCAGCATCATCGCCTCACACGCTCGATTACACGGCTAATTGAATTATGAATCACGTGATCAAGTTTTAACTTAGTCATTCAACCTGGCACCGGTGGAAAACACGTCTGATGGTTCATGCTCTCACGCAGATAAAAGTGCAAGACATACGTTAATGTCATCACGGTGGATCTCAGTGCAGGTATTACTGACCCGATGTGAATCTGAAAACGAGAAATAATGGAGAAAAATGGAGATCCTTCCGATGTACGAGGATTGAATAACCAATGTCCCTCGTTCTGGATGAAAAACATGAATTAAAAACACTCGATCCACCTGAAACGAGTGGAGAATTTGCTAATAAATTAGGAATATTCTTCCGAGTGGTAATTTTCCGTATTATCTTTCCCTTTTGTAAATAAGCTTTCGTTTTTATTCCATTGAATTCAACGATTCGGTAACAGTGCATCTTTATGTTGTTGAGTTATAATTCAAAAAAAATTGTAATCGGAATGTTTTTCCAAATTTTTAAAAAATTTCTGGAAAACTTTTCAGAAAAAAATCGGGAAACGGAGCGATTGTATTTTTGGGAAATGTTTTGAAAAATTTTTCAACGATTTCTTTCGGAACATTTTTTTATAATTCTCTAGAAATTTTTGCGAATATAATTTTTTTAATTATAAAAAAAAA